TTTAGCACCCAATAACTGGCTAACTGGCTGGCGTGATGCGCAAGTCACAACCACTACTGCTGAATGATCAACATGAAGCTGCGCGCCTTGGCCTCCATAGCGGAGAAGGCGGCTCGGAAAGCTATTCATCCGAATCCTCATTCAGTGACTCATACACAGACAGTAGTGACTTAGCCAACTGGGAGGAGCATGTGGCCGAGGATGGAACACTTTTCTATGCAGAATATCTGCCACAAGCGCGACGCCCGATACATGAGAAACGCATTGAGTTTGCGCGCAGCAGCTCACTGCGCATGGGAAAAAAGACGGCGCGACGCCAACAACAACAGTCGCAGCAACAGCAGCAAGACCAGAAGCAAAAGCAGCAAGGCAAATGGAATGGTGATGGACGTCAGCCGACGTCTGCGCAGTCACCCGCGCATGAGCACCGTTTCTCTCACATTAGCAAGTCGCATGAAACACCCAACTACAAGCAATTAGAATTGGTAATAACGGCAGCAGATCGTTTTCGCTTCGGTCGACGCTCCACCGCCGTAGAATCCATACTTGGCTTCCGTGTGTTGCCGTTCCCAGACCAACCAGAGTGTTTAATGGTTGACAGCTTTGTGCATGCGATGCCTACGATGCTTCAACAACAACAACAACAGCAGCAACAACAACAGCCACCGCAGTCATCAACTGAGTCGACGGAAATCGAGCGTGGCGATTGGTTCAAGTCGTTGGATGACATCGAAGTGCGCGCCAGCAATGTGGATGAACTGCTGTTGCAGTTCGTTGAACCCACTAAAGTTTGCCTCAAATTTCAGGGCGTAGCGCGACGTGACACTGCCGGTGGCAATGGCGCTGAGCAAGCGCACGCAAATGGCAGCACAGGCGCCACGAGCGGTGCAGGCGATCTACAAAAAATTGAAAATTTTGCTATGTTTGCGCAAGTTTTTGAGAAGTTCCAGCTGCGCGCGCTAGCAACAGATGGCGAAAAAAGTACCGAAGTTGCTGCTGCCGCCGCTAGTTCTGATGCTACAGCTGATGTCACTTTGCCATTTGCGCTACTAATTCTACCGCCAGAGTGCTATCAGAGTGATCAGCATAAGGACTCACTGTACTATTATCCTGAGGATGTACAAGCAAATTTTCTCTACAAAGCGCGCGGCAGTTTTCTCACTTTGAATGCCGTACTCACGGAGGAGCTGCAGACGAAACCGCTCATATCGCGTCTTCAAGTCAATAGCGTTACCTACTTTGTGTGCTACCGCTCGCTCAATGGCTTGCTAGTGCTGTTCGCTTACGCCGCCGCTTATAACTCACAATCGGAGGCGGGACTGCGCGCAGACGAACTAATCGGTTATATACGCTTTGCTTTTCCCACGCTCAACTTGCAGCACTTCACAAATGGCAATACGTCGACAGCAGCGTTGCGCAGCTTCTTACACAACTTCTGTTCCATACAGCGCGTGCGCATATTGCGCTCGCATCGCAAGCAGCCGGTACTTTTTGAGGAGCTGCTCAAAGAATCGCGGCACATGCCGCTGCCGAAGGAGGCTCAATTGCGTATTTTCGATGCGCTAAGCGAAATGGAGGCCATGGATTATAGAAATTGGAATGATGAGCCACTGAATACGCATCGCGAGTTTTTTATACATGGCAGCGTGCTCTACTACGATCATTACTTACTCGCCTCACAAATGCCGCTGGAGGTGCGCGCCAATGTGGAGCTCTTTCTACGCTGTCGCGGCATATTCGAGTTTATTAGTGAGCAGAACGTCAAAGAGTTGTATGTGTGGGAGGAGGTAGCCTTACCGCAGGCCACCGGTCGTTACTTTCTCACCATCTGCAGTCGTAGTCACTTGATTTTAGCGGTAATTTTGAAAATCTTCGACGCACCTGACTTATCGCCCAACGACATTGTGCCGCCCTCGCTTTTCTACATCGAAGAGATACAAGAAACACTCGATCATCTCATCCAATGCGGCATCGAATCTTTAGCCATCTTCTGGTCTATTTCTAATAAGCGACCCGAGGTGTTGGACAAAGTCGAGCAGCCCGATGAAGCCAGCGCCGAGAAGGAATCACGCAAAATAGAGAACTTCATAAAACAAAAATTCGCTGCTGCAGCCTCGGCCGCCACTGGCGGCACTTCGTCCTCACACACCAGCAGCGGTCAACGCACGCTTGCCTACGACGAGGAAACACATCTCTGTTCGTCGCTCGGCGGTTCATCCATACACAGCCTAACGCCGAGCGAGGATGATTCGAGTCGCAAACGTCTTACCGCAGCCACCAGCGCTGCCGGCAACAACGACGACTCCGATAGTGGCGGTTCAGATTGGGATAACTTCGGCGAACAGAATCCACTACATTACGGCTGCGACTCGGTGCTGCAGTCGCAAATGACCGAATCACTTTGGAAGGAAATAAATAATGTTGTGCCTGTCAAAATTTCCGCCGGCTGGAAGAATGCTATCTTCTACTACGTCTACGTCGACAATACCAACGGTTCGGTTTTCTGTCCGCTCAAAGCGAACTCCGAGTCGTTTCCTTTCCTCGCAGAAATGCGCAAAGCTTGCCATACAATACGCGCGGTGTTGCAGAATACGAAACATTATCGGCGTCTGATGGCGCAAGAGAACACCAAACCAGCAGCCAGTAAGGGTATGTTGGCCATTAAGGAGCACGGCGTTACGATACAAGTGCGAGAAGTTATGACTGATGCAGCGGCAGCAGCATCGGCTGGATCGACTGAGGCAGAGGGCGTTGTTAAGGGACGTTTTGTGGTTATCGGACGGCTGTTCAACTCGCCGTTGAAGGAGGTATACGTTTGTCATAAGCCCGATGTGCCGCAGAATATGGTGGAGATGGCTTTTCGACTCTCATTCTTCTCTGTGGGTTAACGAATGCGGATTGAAGTTGCAATACACATGTTTTGTTTAAAAGTGTAATATTTTTGAATGTAATAATTTGCGTAAATATTTATTTTTTGTATTTGTAATAAACATGCGAAATTTAAAAGGAAACCCCCTAAAAAATTTATTTTTGAAGAGAAAAAACAGCGCTCTAGAAATCTACCTTCTACGGAAGGAATTTATGAAATTCTTAAGAATGTTTTAGCTAGAATATAACTTGCAGCACTTCCAGAAGAAGATCTCGGATGACGATAATTTTTGGATCCAAATATTCTTTCTTTTAATTACCAATATTTTTTTCGAATGAGGTCTGACCAGGACCGCAGTACATTTTGACACATGTCAACTGCAACCAGTAAAAAGGATATTCGTCTATCAACGTCTTTACGCTTTTATTAAGTTGGTATAAAGACACGATTTTTCAGGTCGCCATTTCTCTTGGTCTACTGCACCCGACCCCTTCTATTGTAGCTTGTTTGCGGCTTTAATAAATGACTTACTTCCTATTTGATACTTATGAAATAACTTAGTGCTGAAGCGAACTGAAGGACCCGTGCTACTCGAAAGTAAAATGCTACTTATCTGAACTTTATCCCCGGGGAAATCAACGACGACCCTCTTCAGCACCTGAACGGAAGAGGTCAGACTAGAGCTAGGAATTCGACGGAACCAATTCCGCTTTGGAAATACAGCCAACCGACTTGAACGAGACAGAACTTCATCTGCCGCGGGAGACACGCACCACCATAGCCCAACTTCGCTCTGGATACTGCAGCAGGCTGAACTCCTACCTGAGTACGGACGACAATGACTGATGGATGGATAACGAAATGGATAACGAAATGGATAAACAAATGACATTACGATGGTACTTTGGCAAAACTTCGTACCTCAAAACACATTTTCAAAAAAAAAAAAAACACTCTCTAACAAAAAACTCTATTAATAACAACAGATTATTTTTAATATATTTTTCATTTAAATACTAAAGACTAAGAACTTTTTAATTAGTTCAGAATAAAAAATATAATGAATCATAGTATTTTAAGGCCTATTTTGAATGAATTTTACGAGGTAATAGTGATTTCTGAGATACGAGGCTTTGCTCCAGCGCCGTCGATTCGTAAAGGGGTCACCTGTCAATCACTTAAGAAATCTGCTGGTAACCGCTTAAAAATCGAAGTCCATATACATTTCCATGAAGTGTACGCCTCACCCTATATACCACGCATATTTTAATGAATACTAACTTGTAAATATGAATTCAAAGCATGTGAAATTCCGTTGACATTCACTCATTCCTCATTAACCCATAAAAAAAAAAATGTTTGGACTATTTTTAACAGCAAGCATAAATCTCGGAAGCGAGCCCGAAATATCATAAAATATCAGCACAACGTCTGCGAACGTAGGCGGAGGATAGTACTATGAGTATGTTGAGGATGATGGGGAAAATCTTAAAGCATTTAGTGTTGAACAAGATCGCGACGCGTGTGAAGGTGACAAACGACAGCGCCGGCCGAGTATTACATATGTACATATTTCGCAGCGGTAAAATTCAAGCGCACACATTTTATGAACACTTGAACGCACAAAAACAAAACAAGAGTCAATAATTAATTTCCATATAATAAAGAAAGTAGTGAATTGCTTGAAGTGTATACATAGATGATATATATCGCGTGCTTATCGCTAAAGCCAAATATTTAACAAAATGGAATATATTTATCGGCGATATTCCAATCAGTAGCTATAAATTAGGTGATAGAAAAAAGTAACTACGTATGTGTGTGATCGAGTAGAATACGCGAATTCGCCTAACATTAAAAAAAAATATATTGAAATAAGAAGGCATCATTGCATTTCAAAGTAAGATTACAAATATGTAAAGCAACAACACCAACACTAATCGAAGGTTAAAATTAGAATAAAAGTCGGTAGCAGACATAACTGCCATAACAGCGGTAGCACTGTAGATAACAGAAGCTAAGTAGAACCAAATAGAAAGTATTCAGCAGCGCAGCACAGCGCATTAGACAGCCGCACACACACACACACACACATATGCTTAGATACATTATGTGTGCCAGCGTTCCAACAATGATAAGCGTTGTTAAATTTGTCCGTTTATTATTATTGCCATGGCTATTATTTATGGCCAGCAATTCTACTGTCAACATTGTCGCTGCAAATGGGACGCCAATAAGTCAGCCACAACAGCAGGAAGTGTTATTTGTGCAACAACAACAACAACAACATCAGCAGCAGCAGCAAGAGTGGTATCTTCAGCAATTGCAACAACAACAGCAACGTCAACAACAACAACAACAACATTCGCCTAATCCGATATTTCCCGCCATGCCGCTATCGGCACCCACAACAAACGCCGCCACTCAGTTGTTACCTGAAGCGGCTAAAACAGCTGCAGAGGATCTTACAACATCAGCGCTACCAAATGGAGTAGGTAAAATGAGATGAGGCAAATACATATGTATGAAAGTATAGAAATAAAATAAAATAATAATGTGTGTAGAAAACAATAGATATCTAATGTAATCAGTACCGGCTGTCATTCGCTACTTTTTTCGAAGAAGTTATTTTTTGTTTTTTGCTTCATACAAACTATACATAAGTACATATGTATAAATATTAGACTGCATCACTCCCCATACAAAAAAAAAATAGGTACTGTTTTTCCATTGGCATTATAAAATCAATTATATTTTAAGACGTCCACCAAAATATTTCGGAAAAATATTACGATTTACGTGAGCTTGAAAACAAACTCACTTTCGGATTTCTCTAACAAAATTCATATAGACCAAAGATTAAAACTTTTTAAACGACTACGAAAAATAGAACAAATTTTAACCCAAATTTCAAACTTTTTTCTTATTGTTTATTCGTTATATGGAAGCGAATGCGACAAAAGAAGATTCTAAAAAATCAAGAGTAATTTTTAACCACTTGAAACTTGCACATTGTTAGACAAACATTAAATGGGCTATAAAAAAATTCTAGCACTTCTGAGAAAAAAGTTGGAAATTTGGGTGAAAATTTGTTGCATTTTTTTGTAGTCTTTTAAAAAGTTGTAAACTTTGGTCTATATGCATTTTGTTAGAGAAATCCCAAAGTGAGTTTGTTTGTTTGTTAGGCAAGGGAGCGTGGCACCTCCCATACAAGCGGAATTTTTCATACTGCATATCTCAGGAAATATTTGTGATAGAGTACTGGAGCTTTGTATGGAGATATATTAAATTAATTCGATACTCATGGAAGAGGACTGCTACCAGTTTAAAAAATCAAATTCAACTTAAATGAAATGAGTTATTTATTTGAAGATTATATTAAAAAATGGATGTCAAGAGGTTTAAAAGAGTTTGAAAATATTTTGGAAAGCGGTGCCACCTGTTTGAAAAGTCAAATTCAAATTAATTATTCGCAAGCTATCTGAAAAATTAAAATATGGATGCTAAACGAATGATTGTTAGAATATTATTGAGGTGTTTTACAAGGGTTGCCACACGTAGAAAAAATAAATTCAATTAATTTAAATTAATTACTACAATATGGGTATCAATCGAAATGGGTTTAAAAGGGCTTCATTTATAAACTACATGTAAGTAAGAAAAAGCATCACAGAGAGAGGTTTAGTTTTAGTTTGAAAATATTTTGAAGATGGTTAAAAAATGTAAAATCTCCTATTTTTGGCATGGTTTAAGTACGTTGAGTTTTATTGAAGTAAATTACACCGAATGCAGCACGCAGTAATTTCATATTGGGATAATTTTGTTTTTTGTAGTCAAAAGATTGGTACAATACAGCGATGTTCGATCAAAAATATCAACAAATTAATTTTCGTGATTGTGATAAAGAAAATTATTTAGGGTGTTTACACAATTGGGATACGATTTACACAAAATTTTGGCAAATACCCAATCGTGTGACACTGCCTTTAAACTTGTATTTATACGGATGTTTTTAAAAAATGAACTATAGAAAACTAACCAAAACTAAATAACAGCAAAAATAATATCTTAAAACTTGTGAAAATTTGGTGCGGCTATAATTTGTTCGACTACTGTACATAAGTTGACTATGCTTACTCGGCCGTGCTATCATATAGTACCACAATGCCACTAAGCGCATTTTAAAATTTTCAGGCAATAGCCTCATGCGTTATCGATTATATTTTTTGTTGTTTGTGTGAAATATTTTATTTTTATCAGTATTTTTCTTTTAATCAAAATATGTTGAAATTAAAGTGAACTAAAAGACGATTGCGATTTCCACAGAACTGTTTGTTCAAAATCTGTCACGCAAAAGTTTGCAAAAATAAAAAAAATAAGCAGAGATAAATAAAAACTTTAACTGCAACGAATATGTATGCGGAACTTTTGTTATCTTTCAAAACTTGATTAAAAGTATTTAGACGAATTTCTTCGCAAAAATCTTCACCTGCGGTCAACTAATTAAGGCCGAAATTCAAAATTTCAAAAATTTTAATTAGAACATTTATTTTCGGGTAAGCAGTTTTGTAGCGTATTCCAGTTTAGTACAATAAAGTGCAAGTTTCAAGTCGCTAAAAACTACCGTTGATTTTTTAGATTTTTATGTAAGGGTGTTGCGCATTTTCTTCCATATAACCCACTTTAAGTGACTAAAATAGAATGGGCTACAAAATTGCATACCCGAAAATTTTCTAAATATTCTATTTAAAAATTTAGAAAATTTGATAATGTTATTTTGAATTTCAGTGCTAATTAGTTGGCCGCAAGTGTATGTATTTATGCATACAGTAATATAATGCAGGTTTCATAAAGCAAAGAAAGCTAACTATAGACAGAAAGTTACTATTTTATCAAAACGTCTGCTGGTACATTTCCATTAGGATTTCCAGGATTAGAATCCGAGTTTATGCATACGTATTAAAGAAAAATGATGGCGGATTATATTATTGGATATAAGCTAGGAAAACAATTTATTTTTTGCAGATTATTCAAACGACACCCTAGACTTTGCAGAAAACCCAATCAGTGACGACGCCGATGAGAAGCTGCCCAGCGAGATTCAAAAAGCTGTTTGTACAGTGACTGCAGGTGAAGTACGTGCAAGCGCAGAAGCTGTTACCACGAAAAAGCTCAAAGGTGTTTGCGGATCGGGTAAATATATAGCTAAAGTTCAAGTTAGTTTTACTCTAATTTATTCTCCAAAATTTTAAGCTGAGCTTAAGTTAGCCTTTAGTGATTTGGAAGCTAAACTCTATAAGGAATTACAAGAAATAAAAACACTGCTGCAATACATAACGCAACAGCAGGGCATAAATGTGCCGCAAATGCTTGGGTCAATGGGTGTTACAAGAACACCGCAAAAGCAGTTAAATAGTGCTACAGCAACAAACCCCTACTCGGGCACTTCACCAACATCACCAGCTACAACACCACAGTCACCGCCAACTACTACGCGCACGCAACAGCACAAACCTTTAGCTAGTAATAAACCGACTATAGCCACTAAACCGAATTTCCAACCCATCATAGAGCCTAAGAGTAATGCCGTGGACACATCAGCTGAAGTCAGTTACGAATACGAGGAGTCGTCAGCAGCTATGGACGCTGAGGAGACGTTGACTAAAAAGGCGCCACAACTTAAATCCTTTCATACCAAGAATCAAATGTCGGCGCCACCCTCCTCCAATGAGCTGCTACAGGAAGTGAGAAAATTCAATAATACAATGTTAAGTGATCGCGAAATGAAGGTATTCACTTACTATTGGAAATTGGACAATTTCACTGAACGCATTGAGAGTGGTAGTAGTACGATGGTGGAGAGTCCGGTATTTTCAATAAAAGGTATGATTACCTCAATTATGCAAAAAAAAAGTACCAGTTTTCACTTTGCAAATTTTCCCCGTAGCCAAGCCATTGCAGTTGAGAGCCTATTTCCAGCACCTCCATCGCGATTTTCTTTACCTACAATTGGCGCATGCGAGCATAAAAAGTAATAATCGGAATAATATCATCATCGATATGGGCGGTTTATTCAAGGAGATTGCGAATGAGAATGTCCGCTTTAAGCATAAGATATCAGTACTCAATCAGGTAAAATTCTACTTGTTATTGTTAAGATTTTGTATAAGTAAAGGGGGATAGTAGTATCCTCCTAACTTGAGAAATTTTTTGTCGGAGATGTTATATGTTTTTTTATTTTTTGTTGTTTTAGCAACCTGTTTTGTGCCCCTCTAACCCTTTTTACCAGAGCCCAATACGGTTCCGTACCGTGGTCTAGGCTTAGGGCAGTTCGGTGGATTTGTATGTCTGGGTATAAATGCTGTTATTTTTTTGCATACCATTCAAATCCTAATTGGCTGTAATGGCATGAAGCCCAATCAGGCAAAAAAAAGTTGAGATTTCCCGCTGCTTTGTAAATGGTAAAAGTCGTTTTTGTAAGCAGTCGTGGATATATACAGTCATGTGAAAAATAATAGCCTCACGACATTTTTACCAATTTTAGCCATTTTTCGTTTGTTTGTTTAATGTTTATTATTTTTTTATAAAAATCTAGCCCACTATCTAACAAAAACGATATACAGAAGTCTAAATTTAAAAATTTGTATAAAAACTAGACAAAAACAAAATTTTACAACAAACTTTTTACTAAGAATTTTTAGAAAAAATCAAAGTATGCAGTTTTATATCCCATTAAATTCTAGCTTAAAAACGTGCAAGTTTAAATTTTTTTGCAGATGGTGTTATTATTTTCTTCCACACAAAAAAAAAAAAATTGTCGAACATATTTTGTAAGGAAGAAAATGCGCGAGACCGTCAAGAAAAAAAAATATCAAAAATCAACGAAGATTTTTTCTAAAAATTCTTAGTAAAAAGTTTGTTGTTGTTGTAAAAGTTAGTTGAATTTCTCAAATTTTTCTACAAAGTTTGAAATTTAGACTTATATGGTGTTTGTTAGATAATGAACTGTATTTTTATTAGAAAATAATAAACATTAAACAATTAAAACAAGAATAGCCGAAATTGGTCAAAATGTCGCATCGCCATTATTTTTCACATGACTATAATTCCGTGTTAGTCGTCCAAGTTGTAGCAAACGAGGTGCTTCGCATACCGCAGTTACATATTACTTGCCGTACCATAAATTTCTTACGAAATTTTGTCTTTTTTGATTTTTTGCGACATAAAATCCGACACCCGGAAGCTACGAAAAGTCGCCACCCACATGTCTTACCGTCCAATAATGCAGCAATCGAAATCACGGTGAAATCATTTGGTTTGCTTTGCACCGTAGCCTTTCCTTATTTTTAACTTTTCTAACGAAAGCCCCCTAACATTTTAATTTTTTCGTTACTTTTCTTCGATAAATTTAGATTTTTCTTAAGTGCTACAATATTCTTGGCTACATTGGGGTTTTTTTAACCATCTGCCTTGCCACTTCCTTAGACGTTCGCCATAGACTTTTGTAATACGCGAAACTGCATTCCTTGTCGCCTTTGCTTTTCAAACGATAGTTTTGAAAGTCAAAACTGGATAATTTCGCTGCACGAAAATTTTTTATATGTTTATAAATTGCAGCTTTTATTGAATCCAAAATTTCAGTGATTATCTCAGCAGATTTTTCGATGCTTCCTCGCCGGATCACCTAGTATATTTGCCTTGTCAATGATTCTTATATAGTTACTAACTACTCACAAGAGATGCATAGTCTTGCCGAGGTTGTAAAAGCTCGCTTCTTGGCTACAAGAGTTTTGGAGAATGCTGATGGGTTGACTGGCCTTGGCCAGTTATAAATATGAATCGTTTCGGTTCCGTAGACCCGACTGTCGTGGGAACGTGGCGTCAAGGGCTGTCTTGCCGGTGACATATACGAAATGGTGTAAAGTGCCGCCTTTGATATATTCCTCATAGCTCCAGTTATGCTATTTATGATCGCATACTTTATTTTAGGTCGCCGCTAATATCTTTAATAACCCTTAGAAAATTATCGGCTATACAATGCCGAAAGAGCTCACTGCATGTATTCGTTTTTTAAGTCCAACGTCGCTTTAAGTTTATGCAGTGGTGCTAAGGACTGTCTTACTCACCGCTCCACTTTCAGTCTGCAAGAAAGTTTTGCTGCGCAACAAGATTCCGAGATACTTTGTTTCAGTTGGAGGCGTGGAAGTTGGCACATCAATAATAGATATTTTATTTCTTCCAATTTTTCTTTGTTTTATATAAAATGTAAAATGTCTATTTATATTTGTATATTCCAAATAATTTCTTTATCCATTCTCTCTTTTCATAAACTTTACGTTTTAATTTTAAATTTTCTTTCAGCACAACCAGCGTTCGAAGGATTTAATTTCGCAGGAATTTTACAATCTCGAGACGGGCTTTCTTATACCAAATAGCGCACTGCTCGGCAGTCCATTTATCAAAAACGATTCATTGTTAATACAAATTTTTCTTTATTTATAATTTATTTTCTTTTTTTTTTTGCATAATTTTTCTTTAATTGTATGGTTATACGAGTACCTTTTTGTAAAGAATCTGCTATTTTTTAATCGCACATAATTGCATATATTTTATTTAAATGGTTAACTTAATAAGAATTTTCAATACGGTTATTTATGAATTTATGAATTTTATTTATAAGCAATTATCTAACATAGTATGTAACTACATATCTAATCAGGTGTAAAATTTAATAAAAACCAACAACAATGAAATTGTAGTCTTAATAAAAAATAAACAAATCGGTAAACACTTGTTTCTTTTGAAGTTAAAAAAAAACATGTAATACAATTTAATGCAACTCACCCAATTAGCCGATGTGAAAGCAGGATTTTTCATGATTATCGAAGTACATACATACAAGCACGCGCCCACACACATACATATATATTTGTATAGGCGGGCACATGCAATTTTTTTTTAGCTATGCAAATATTTATAATTTACTACGCGCTCCTTTTGCTTTAATATCCAAAACTGGCAGGCAAATTGGATATAATTCTTTGCTTGATTTGAATGCTTCCAAATCGATGATTTTCTCATGCCGTTCCATATTTGTGATTTCGATGGCTTCCTCTTCGGGCGTTTCCGCTTTTTTGTCGTCTTGGTTTAGCTGTGTGGAAATAATATGCACGGAGAGTACACGTCGCTCGGGACCATCGCGAGCAATGAAGCTCTGTAATTATCGAATNAATAGTCATTAAATAGTAAAAAAAAATCAGAGTAAAGCAAAGATAAACCAGGTTAAAGATAAATAAAAGTAAAGGGATAATGTTAAGGTTAGGGTTAATATTAAGGATAAAGATGAAGGTAAGATAAAGATAAGAATAAGGATAATACCGATTATGGATAGCAATAAATATTAAGGCTAATAAGTATATGAATGGTAAAATAAAGGATACGGATAAGAACAACGATAACGATGTAGATGTACATATGTATATGAAATAAAAGAAGTTAAAAGTAAAACAAAATATTGAGATCAACTTACAAATAAAGGAAGAGATACTAAGAGAGAACGGTAGAAAAAGCTGGTTAAAATAGCACTAACAGCAGCATATCGAGCCCTTACCGCCAAAATAACGTAAGCGACATTTTTTTCAAAATTTTATTTTTGATGCAGAAATATTCCTCTACACATCTAGATGCATTTCTGCATCAAAAAGAAAATTTTGAAAAAAATGGCGCTTACGTTATTTTGGCGGTTAGGGATCGATATATTTGATATATATAATTTTACAGTAAATTTTTGTCGTAAGTATGGGGATTTCAGCTACAATATTTTCCAAAAAGTAAATTTCGAAAAAAAGGCACTACAACAATTGCGGACAAAGGGGTCGATTTGTGCATATATTTTCATATATGGCAACAATATCGTATCGATGTATTTCTGCATTAAAAGAAAATTTTGAAAAAAATGGCGCTTACGTTATTTTGGCGGTTTGATATATATAATTTTACAGTAAATTTTTGTCGTAAGTATGGGGATTTCAGCTACAATATTTTACAAAAAGTAAATTTCGAAAAAAAGGCACTACAACAATTGCGGACAAAGGGGTCGATTTGTGCATATATTTTCATATATGGCAACAATATCGTATCGATGTATTTCTGCATTAAAAGAAAATTTTGAAAAAAATGGCGCTTACGTTATTTTGGCGGTTTGATATATATAATTTTACAGTAAATTTTTGTCGTAAGTATGGGGATTTCAGCTACAATATTTTACAAAAAGTAAATTTCGAAAAAAAGGCACTACAACAATTGCGGACAAAGGGGTCGATTTGTGCATATATTTTCATATATGGCAACAATATCGTATCGATGTATTTCTGCATTAAAAGAAAATTTTGAAAAAAATGGCGCTTACGTTATTTTGGCGGTTTGATATATATAATTTTACAGTAAATTTTTGTCGTAAGTATGGGGATTTCAGCTACAATATTTTACAAAAAGTAAATTTCGAAAAAAAGGCACTACAACAATTGCGGACAAAGGGGTCGATTTGTGCATATATTTTCATATATGGCAACAATATCGTATATTTCCGTGGAACAGAAAACTACAAATATGCAGAAATGCATTCAAATATTTATGTAAATATGTATGTGGAGTGACTCAGAGTGAAACCCTGAGCATTTGATTGTCAACAGGAAATAACTTCTCATAGCCATTTTCTTTAAGTTTTTTTGCGTGTTTCAAGCTAAGAAAAACGATTCATGTTATTTTGGCCTTCTCGGATTTTCGTTGCCTCTTTTGGACTTAGCAAATTTGCCTTTCATTGAATATAAACGACGAAGAATAAAACAAGTACTCTAATCCTTTTCGAAACGATGCATTTTTAATTTCGCTTGCTTCCCTTTTGAAATTTTCATAGAAAGTGGACTTGCAACTTTTCACTCTAAGTCAGCGTAATATGTATGTATGCTTAGTTAAAAAACAGTTTGGAGTTAAAGAAATCTGAAGAGACTTGGCGATCATAGAGGCAAAGAGGTTGTTTGATAGCAGGCATTTTAAAGTATGTACATATATCTGTTGAAACAATTTTATGTAGTTAAGTGCAAAGAAAATAAAATTGTGGGTTAGGCCACTTTTGCTTTCATGGCCTCATAAAAAAAAAACTCAATATATTCCCCAAACTATGGACCAAAAATGGTAAAGAAGCGTTCTTAATTTGTCTCTCTGACGTCAGGGTTTTTTTTTAAGGACTTTGAAATTTTAAAAATATTATTGCTTCAAAAACTTATTTAAAAAACTCAAAGCAATGTACATAGAACAACAGTATGGGTATCAGAGTAAAGGGAAAATTCGTAGAATTAAGCATAAGGACGAGTAGGTATTGAACATGTCCTTTTAAAAATTTCATTCTTGAATATCCTTGAAGTTTTGCATTACTTATTTTTGAAAAAATTACATGTAGGTTTAGGTCTAATATAGCTTTGTAAGCTTAAAAATTAAATTAATTTTAAGGTCATTTTCGTTACCTATTCGTCCTTGTGAACCAAAAAATTCTAAAAAAATTTCTGTTTCATTTGGTGCCCGCCCATGTTGTTATTCTACATTGCACTGAATTTTTTAAATAATATTTGGATTCCATCATATCTGTGAGACTACAAAGAGAAAAACTAAAAACGCAGTTTTACTATATTTGGCCCATAGTTTCGTGAGTACATTGATTGCCTTGCGTGTTTCAAAATTTTTAGTTTTTGTCGCACGGTGTAACTTTCTACAACCGCTTGTCATTGCTTTAATTGAGCTCGCATTCGGCGCTTTAGCCTTTGTTTTCTTTTCATTCATATATATTTTTTTTTAATCTAAAATATAGGCAAATTTTATAATAACTTATGTATAAAAACTTACCTTAAAGCATTCCAAAAACTCCTCCTTAGTAATCTTACGTAAGATTGCCACTTCTGCTTCATCGCGTTCGAAATGATATTGTGCCAAAGCGATTTCACTATAGAATTGATGAAATTGTTGAGAAACATTTTTCGGTTTTTCCAACTTCTTCAACGCTAATGCCTCTTTGTGGCGCTCGAATTCGTCCAAAGGCATTTCCTCCATGACTTTCTATGAATAAAACATATAAAATGTGTATTTTAGTAAAATTTTTTATTTTTATTTTTTTATGTTTTTTGCATGCCTACCAAATAATTTTCCAAGAAACTTTCAATGCGGTCCTCAACGAATGACGGATGCTTCGAGGATTGTACAATAATACGTATACCATTGGCGCCATTCACTTTGCGTATGCCACTAAAGACGATGTAACCAAGTTGTTCCTGTCGAAGGAAAATTACAAACTCAATAAATAGAAGTATAATTAAGGGTTAAAATATGTTTTTGTAAAAATCATCTACGTGCAACACACAAGCTTGCGTTTCCAGAGTAAACAACAAGATCAATATCTCGCATTTTAGCGGCTACAAAATGCTTACAAAACAATTACAATTAATTTTTAGATAAACATGTTTTGTTTAATAGTAACACCTTCAATGTTCATAGCCTATTGAAAATAAAAATTCCATAGATACTTTTGCTAATTAGTTAGGTAGTTGATTAAAATATTATTTCATTTACACACGCAACTGATGATGTACAATAATTAGCGGTATTTTTGTTGACAATTTATAACAATTGTTTATTGGATTACGGTAAGAGCATTCAAAATAGCAACTAAAATTGACTAGTCGCTTTTCATACTCTTAGGAAATGCTGGAACAAAAGGAACATGCGCCTCTCAAACCGCACCTGTCAATAATTATCTAACCTTGTATTATTGAATCATGATTCCATATAAAGAAATCCCTATATTAACTTAGGACTAATCCAGAACTCATCCCGCATCAGTGTCATTATTTTTTTTAGGGAACTAAGAGATGTTTAGATGTTTAAGCTAAATTTTTCTTATTCGACTAAAGGGCATAATGTTATGGATAGCCTTTTTTTGAGCGTTATAAACACTGAAGAAGTAATTTCATATTACCCTTACACTCCGCTCCACTTGAATAGCGCACCATTTTGATCCTCCGTATTTGCAGTTTTTCTTTTGTTTTATTAATATTAGGCGTGTTTTTTTTACATGCATACGTATTTGCGCTTATTGTATGGAGCTCTAAGCCACAAACTTTTTGTGAGCTTACGAATAGTGGTCGAGAAAATCAAAATTATTTGTTTTGAAATGGAAATTGTCGATGATTGTTTTTTTTTTACACGTTATGCGTAGATGTATATGCGTGTAAAAAAACACTGCTATTAATATTATTTTATAAAAATGTAGCATGTTATACAACAAAAACAATGTAAATCCCTTTTTCAAACCTTATACAAATAAAAAAAAAATAATCAACAAAGGGGTGCGCTATCCAAGTGACTGGCAGTGTATAAGTTAATAATATTTTTAGAGAAATTCTATTGTTCTCTATTCAAATGCAAGTTTCGAGTGGCTGCAAAATACCGTTGATTTTTGGCATTTTTTGTTGGCAGTGCCACCCATTTCTTCCATACAAAGTAGCTCGACCAAACTTTTGTATGGAAGAAAATGGCAGGCAACGCCTAACCTAAAAAAAAAACACGAATTTTTTCAAAAAATATTGCTAACATATACACTGCTGCCCATTTGAATATTTAGCACA